AATTTCAGAAATAAAAGCTCTAATAAAATTAGTATGGCAAAACTTCCCCCAATATTATAAAAATATATATATTGGAGCACATTTATCAATAAAAGATTAAACTTTACTGTAGTTTTACATTTACTTAAACACTCTGGAACACTGAAAATAAAATCCGACGCTGTTTATGAAAGCGTAGTATAATTTTTATCATGCTATTGTTTTTTCTTCTTTTCTCTACAAACCTCAAGCCTTTATTCTTCCATCCTTCTGTGATATACTGTGATATCTATATTATTTCAATGTTAGTTAAAGTAAATAAAAACAGACCCAGGCGCATGGCGCTGTAAACCGGACCAGCCCTTCGCTGCTGGACTGACAGGCGCAGCTAAAAATGGAAACAGAAACCAGCCACCCAGATCACTTCACACCAACACCACCGCTTCCATATCCTTCCTCTGACAGCGTCCACTGCTCAGCTGGCTTATTAGCTGACTAATAGTGGTTTTTTTTTCACATTGACTTTCACCGCCCCCCAGACAGCTTACAAGCCAAACAGTGTTAGTTGTCGAGGCTTCAGATGGATTACAGCAGGCAGGCTAACTCCTTCACTACCCTGCTATTAAAGCTAACACTTAGCCTGAAGGCAGCGTTAGCCAGCTAGCCCCGTAGCCCACTGTGTTTCGGTCTCTGGTGAGCTAACTAGCGGTGGCTTTACAGTTAGTTAGTTAAGCAAAACAGCCCCTCCGTGGACACACCTCCGAGAACTGTGTGCGTGTGTAAGTTTTAATCTAGACAGCCCACAGCACAGGACCGAACGCAGCTAGGTTAGCTACAATGCTAACTTACCCACCAAAGCTCTCTGTGTTTGTGTTTATCTCTCTCTCTCTCTCTCTCTCTCTCTCTCTCCTGCTGCTGCTACAAGTTCACTACAGTTTTGTTGACAGCTGTCAAGCGCCACATTGATGCCATTTTAAACGGCTTTTTTTGGCAAATAAGACACGCACAGTCGAAAATACATAATGTCGTGTTTTCCTCACCTAAATAGTTGGTCCTGACAACGTTGGGATCACTGTAGCCGATGGAGCGCTTCCTTACATCCCAAATCAAGTTGCCAGTGCAGGACATTATGGGTCAGCTCTCAGAGCTCTTCTTCTGATGCAAGCTGCATTGAGAAACAGAGACAGTGAGGAAAGGAAGGAAGAAGCCACCTTAATCAACCCAGCCTGGCAGCAGCAGCAGTGTCTAATGTGCCCCGTTCAAACGCCTCTCTGCTCCTCCAGTGATTGATCGTAGCAGGAACCACACACAGGAAAAATAAAGAGAGACCACTGCCCTACAACCAGCGACCTCCAGACTCCGGAGTCATTGTAAGCGCAACTACAAAATAACGTGGCAAATATATCCAGGTGTTGTGAAGCGCTCCTGCTGCCTCCGCTGCTGCTCGGAGCCGCTCCGTTTTCCTGTGCCAGTGAAATGCGAGCTGCGCGCACTGTAAACGTCCACAGCGCCCTGAAGAGCATCAAGTATGCGCACCGTTACACGCAACTTGCTCCGTAACTTACAGGTTTAAAGCGACAGTGTCATTAAATATATAAGACGAGTCCAGCAGCCACCACACATGACGAAATCCTCAGTAAGTTACTGATGGCTGCTTGCCTTCCAGTTAAAAAAAATCAATGCAGTTGCGCTACTGCAATTGCATCCACTTGATGACTTCAGTTCAAACGACGATTTACAACCCAAATTCCACAAAAGTTGGGACGCTGTGTAAAATGTAAATCAATGTAAATAAAATCAGAATGCAATGATTTGCAAAATCTCATAGACTCATGTTTTATTCACAGTAGAACGTAGAACACATCAGATGTTGAAAATGAGATATTTTTCCATTTCATGAAAAACATTAACTTATTTAGTACTTGATGGCAGCAACGCATCTCAAAAAAGTTGGGACGGGGCAACAAAAGGCTGGAATAGTAAGTGGTACTAATAAGAAACATCTGGAGGAGCAATTTGCAACTAACTCATATGACTGGGTATAAAAAGAACATTTTAGAGTCTCTCAGAGGCAAAGATGGACAGCCAATTCACCAATCAGCGAAAAACTGTCCACAAATTGTGGAACAATTGCAGAAAAACGTTCCTCAACATAAAACTGCGAAGACTTTGGATATCCCACCATCTACAGTACATAATATCATCAAAAGATTCAGAGAATCTGGAGGAATCCCTGTATACAAGGGACAAGGCTAACGGTCAATATTGTATGTTTGTGATCTTCAGGCCCTCAGATGGCACTGCATTGAAAACAGGCATGATTCTGTGCTGGAAATCACTGTATGGGCTCAGGAACCCTTCCAGAAATCATTGTCTGTGAACACAGTTCACCTTGCAATCCACAAATGCAAGTTAAAGCTATATCATGCAAAGAAGAAGCCATATGTCAACGCAATCCAGAAACATCACCGTCTTCTCTGGGCCAAAGCTCATTTAAAATGGACTGAGGTAAAATGGAAAACTGTTCTGTAGTCAGATGAATCAAAATTAGAAATTCTTTTTGAAAACCATGGATGTCCAGATTGTTATCAGCGCACATTTCAAAAGCCTGCATCTCTGATGGTATGGGGTTACATTAGTTACATGGCGTGGGAAGCTTACACGTCTGGAAAGGCAATATCAACGCTGAACATTATTTAGAGGTTTTAGAACAACATATGCTCCTATCCAGAAAATGTCTCTTTCAGGGAAGGACTTGCATATTTCAGCAAGACAATACTAAACCACACACTGCATCCATCACAACAGCATGGCTTTGCAGAAGACGGGTCCCAGTTCTGAACTGGCCTACCTGCAGTCTAAACTTTTCACCAATAGAGAACATTTGGCACATCATGAAACAAGAATTCAGCAAATAAGACCCAGGACAGTTGAACAGCTGGAGTCCTACATCAGACAAGAATGGGACAACATTCCTCTCCCAAAACACAAGCAATTGGTCTCCTCACTTCCCAGACTTTTACAGACTATTGTTAAAAGAAGAGGGGATGCTACACAATGGTAGACAAGGCCCTGTCCCAACTTTTTTGAGATGCGCTTCTCCCATCAAGTTCTAAATGAGTTAATGTTTTTCACGAAATGGTAAAATCTCTCACTTTCAACATCTGATATGTGTTCTATGTTCTATTGTGAATAAAATATGGTTCTATAAGATTTGCAAATCATCGCATTCTGTTTTTATTTACATTGATTTACATTTTACACAGCGTCCCAACCTTTTCGGAATTTGGGTTGTAGATAGGTAGCTGTACAACAGCTGTGCAATAAGCAGTGGACATGGAAAACAATTACGTATTCACCAAAAAAAATCTATATTGTCCTGTGAAGAAGATAAAAGTGCAGACACAGGCATCCCAGCAGTCACAGCTTGGCAATCGGCCAAGAGATCATGGCTTTAAGTCCAGGTGATGAACATCTGGCTGCTGACATTAGGAGCTTGAGTGATGCGCTCCAGGGGACTCGAGCTGATGTCACTGCTTTAAGCTAAATCTGGTAAAATACATATTAATACAAATAGTGAGGAAGTCTATTTATGCTTTGCTTTTTAGCATCGTTACAACTGCAACGTCAGAGCAGTGGATGTTACAATCCTGTACGTATGTGACATAACTGTATGTCACTGATGTAAATAATGAAACCCTGAAAAATAAACATTCAATTATATGTAATTTAAAATACAATTGTCTCTCTGTAACATCAAGAACCTGTACAAGACAAACAGGAATATTTGTTCTTTGGCGCCTCCAGGTGGCCAACCTATTACATCACTGTCATGTAATAATAATAATAATAATAATAATAATAATAATAATAATAATGTTGTTGTTATATGCTCTAAAGAATAAATTCCCAGAGAACGTCAAGTTAATGCAAATTAATTCTCGCCGTTTGTTGTGATGCTTGGCCCGCTGTTATCAAAATACTGAACACTGACCGTCCGGCACTGAAATTGACCTTCGGCAAACGTTTTTATTATTATTATTATTATTATTATTATTATTATTATTATTATTATTATTATTATTATCATTGTTGTTGTTGTTGTCGTTGTTGTTCAACTTCTGAATTTCTAGCCAATTAATTTTGGCTGCCGCCGGACTTTCAACGGACTCTCAGCGCTGTGATTAAACTCGACAGTCTGACCGTTTCCGCCCTGTACGTTTATCTAAAGAGCGCAGTCAACAAGTCCCACCCACAAACAAATATGGACCAATCACTGACAAGACGTCAGGTAACATGAACCAATAGGATGCTTTGGAAGCTGGGCTGTGCCATGACGTCCGTAACCTTGCGACAGTCCCCCATGTTACTTGTAAGGAGAAATTCGATTCAGTTTAACGAACCGATTCTGTCCCACTGTCTGATTCAATCAATCAAACGTCCTACGTAACGATTCACTGACTCAGAAGTTAACTTTGTTACCGTTTATTATTATACAGTGGGCCTGGTGTAGCTATGCTTACTTACTTAGCTATACAGGCAAACCTGGACTGCACAATTACGTGCCAGAACGAGGAAGCCTACTATAGATGTGTCCGAAACTGAAGGCAGCTGTCTCGCTGTCTCGAGGCCTTGCCACCTGTGCTGTCTCTCGAGTCAGTGCATTAGAAGGCAGCGTTGTCCTCTGTGTCACTGCTGGTGTTTTCTGCTGTTGTTTCTAACCACGTCTGCGCGGACACAGAGGATTATTGGAAATGTAAGGCAGCGCAGGACAGTTACATCTACATTGGAGGAGGAACAGTAGGCAGCGTTTTATTCAAACATTAGATTCGGACTCAACTGGGTGCCTCCTTGCTGCCTCGGAGTAACGTGTTTGTCCCGTTTCAGACAGCCTAAAGAGCGCGAATGTGATGGAATTCAAACATGCCGTTCTTATAAAACTCCTCAGTCTGTGATCACTGTAGAAGTAAGACTCCGAGCTGTGGGCCCTTTTGACCGATTCAAAGAGCCGATTCGCTCAAGAATCGAATATCGCGCCCGTGGTCCTCCTCCTTTCGGCCCTACCGGCCAACTAACAACCGGTTTTAACAACACTGCTAGGAAGGTCGAAGGTAGGACGGGACAGTGGGCGTTGTTGGGGATCGTTTTATGAACGTTTTGGTTTTGTAGAGAGGTACTCGCCTCGAAGAGCCATCTCGGGGGAGTAACTGGAGCTGTTTTTAGCCGTCCTCGCCACATTGTTGTTCGTTGCCGTTCACTGAGCCTAGCTGCCATGGCTTTGGTAGGACTGAGAGCCTCGTACCACAGGGTGCTCGGCAGGATCGAGCATATGCTGCCGGCCAAACTGAGACCTATTTACAACCACCCAGCAGGTAATGTAAATGCCATTACTGTGCGGATTATGTGTCACAGATAGTAGTGCCTGTATAATCTTCTAGCCTTCAGTGTTCAGTGTTAGCTGGCTTGTTCGGCTAACCCGCCTTAGCTTAAAGTTTAAGTTAACGTTAGTTTTACAAACGCCGGTCAAACCTGTCAAACTGTAGGTTAAATGTCCGACTCTTTTCTCCTTCCGCCTCGGACGGCTGCTACAACAGTTAGCTGCCGTGTTGTGGTGACAGGGCTGTTGTGTATGTGGTAGCTTGGATGCACAATTTTAGCAATAAATGAAACATAAAAACCTCCAGAACTGTCTAAACCCAGCCCAGTATGATTATAAGCGTGACTGTACTGGGGTTTAAGACTGTATGAATATGCCTGGGAAGGCTGAGTGCAGACAGAGCTCCCTCCCTTCCTCACTGTGTTGCACTCTCTGAGATTGCCTGGTGGGAAGAACATAGACATCCTGAGAGAGAGAGATACTAAAAGGGGACAAAGCAGGAGTTCTAGGCTACTGATTGGCCCCCTGCTCATCTTTTTTTAAAAAAGAGGCGGAGGACATAATGCTGAGTGAATTACTCCACTCCAGATCATGCGTTTAGTATTGATGCGGTTATCTTACAGCTAGCGTTAGTGATTTGGCGTTGTGTACATTGCTGAAAAACATTTTTTACATGGTGTATAATATTATCACCTTGTGCAAGTCACTGTCTTAGACCCTTTAATAATTCTGTCTTAGCGATGTACAACTCACTTAGACCTAGTTAATCTCACATCTTTATATATTTATGCTTAAATCATGCTTAATTCAGTGAAACCTTTTGAAATCTGCTTTAGCTGAACCTAATGTACCTTTCTTGGACCCAAGTTGACAGGCTTTTAGCATAAATTCAGATTTTTTGTATGCTATGCTGAAAAATGTCTTGGCATTGCAGAGCAGGGAAAACATTAAAGGATCCATATCATGGAAAAGCACAATTCCCTCACTTTTTTTGAGTTTGATGTAGTATGTAAACATTGTTCAAGTTTCAAAATGTACCATTCACTCCCCAGTCCATACGGTCCATATATGGAAAATAATCTAAAAAGCAGCCTGTTTTAAATTCATTGTTTTGTGATGTCTTGAAAACCAATGCGTTTGCATGTCGGCATATTCTGCGTACAGCAGTTTAGTCACGGCTGCTCACACTTAAGTTATAAGGAGTGTTTCAGCGTGGACTGTTTTTTTTTTAATGAAATACAATACAGGGCAGCCAGTCAGAACAGATAATTTGCATATATCAGTCTTAAAGACACAGCAACAAAAACAGCCTGCTTTAATTCTAAGGGATAAATAGAGGTTGGAAAATGGTGTATGGTGTAAAAATGAAGTATTTTTAGTATGTAAACCCACACAAATGTTATAAGTGGACCTCAAGGGAAAAAATAAATAGAAAGAAAAATATAGGACATGGGCCTTTTACAGTAAAAAAAAAAAGTGAAATCCAAAGCATTTGTTGTACACAACAAGCAATGTTTTTGTTGCTTAAGTACAGTCTGCTATGTTATCATTTAGATACTTCTAATCCCTTGATGCTGAGTTGGTTTGTGGGGCTACATTGTATGCAAATAAGCTTTGAAAACCTAAAATGATTGATGTTTTTCTCTTTAGGTCCCAAGACTGTTTTCTTCTGGGCACCAATGTTTAAATGGGTATGAGACTCAATGCATTCATTTCTTTTTTTTTCCTGTATCTGTATATTGCATACTCATACAAAGAAATCAGGAAAAAGGGAAAGAATATATGGTGAAAAAAAGGAAAGAAATATAGTGACACAATTGATGTAATAAGTGTATTTGTACTCATCTGTTCATGGCAGATGTAAAGACTCTGGTAGCCTAGAGTATTAAGAGCTACTTTAACTACCATGTTTATAACACCTAGCTGTAAAAAGTGGCTGATTAATGATTTATAGTAGCTCATTCTTGGTGAGATTGTTGAGGGAAAAACATGAAGCTAGTAGCCTGCACCACATAAATATTTCTGTTTATTGTTTGTACTTTGCTCTGTTTCCTCAGGGTCTAGTGCTGGCTGGCCTAGCAGACCTGACCAGACCGGCAGAGAAACTTAGCACGTCCCAGTCTGCAGTACTGACTGCCACAGGTATACAGTTAGTCACCACACAAAGCATGCTGCTGCCTCTTTTTTGTATTTGTGCTCTCTGGAGTACTCCATGGCAGCATATTCCAAACTTCTTTCGAATTCAAATGTAAATTTGAAAATGCTGATTAAAATGTGCATTTACAATAGCATTTCCCATGTGAGGGAGCATTGTTTTAGAGATACTTCCAATTTCAATGCAAAATATGTATTTACATTTCTGTGCGTAATCTGGAAAAGGTTATTGTGGAAAAGCAGTATTTTTGACATTTCATTTCTTTTCTCAGTGGTCTGATTCTGACAGAAAAAACGGAATAACAATCCCCAAATTGAAATTGCATTTCCTCATCATTGTGCTTCAGCTCCGCCAAAATTAAAATGTATTTGCAACCTTGTTTGCAATTGCATGTTCACTGTCTACCAGTCAATCAAATCCTAAGAGTGAGATTATGGAAATGGCTTTTTTAGTGCTTCAAAGCCGAACACGATGTCACTAACACTGGTGCTTGTGCAGCCATAAAACAACAGGGAAGAAGTTTGGACAGAATTATCTTCGGCCTGGTTGGCGAGCGTTAAAGCACCGGTACCAGCGGTTGCACCAGTACCACCAAAGTTTAGACTTTTTGGTCACTTCCTCTTAAAACGCACCTCGCACACGCACAACGTCGCACCCACAGCGTTTGATTTACATGAGTGCTTGCTGATGGTGAAAATCCATTCGCAAAGAGGGTTGCAGATACATTTTATTTTGGCAGAATTGAAGCAGAACAATGAGGAAACAGTTGCAATTAGTTGTCTTGTTATTCTGTTTTAATATGTCAGAATCAGACTATTAAGACAATGAAAATTAAATAGGCAAAGGCACTTTGCTTTTCCATATTAACTTTTTACACAGTATACTCAGAAATGTAAATGCAAACACACATTGTCTGTCTTAAATAATGCACACTCACATGGTAAATGCATTTTAATTAGTCAGAAATGCACATCACATTTCTCTCTCCTGTGTCTGCAGGTCTTATTTGGTCCAGGTATTCTCTGGTTATCATACCTAAAAACTGGAACCTCTTTGCTGTCAACTTCTTCGTTGGAGGTGCAGGTGGTTCTCAGCTTTACCGAATATGGAAGTGAGTTCTCATTAATAGAAGGCTTCTAAATATTGGCATAGTCACTATGCTCAGTGTTACCTTTAACCCAGTAACTACTAATTTTTTTTTTTTGTTTTTTTTTTAAGAGAGAGATGTAAGATTTACTAAAAGATGCATTGGCAATAAGGCCCCATATTATTTTTTGTTATTTCAGGGGGTTTAATATTGAGCCTTAAATGTCAATGTTTAACTCTTTATTGTGCAAAGAAGTTGCAAAATAAGGGAAAATTAAGCAAGTTGTTCATTAACCATGAAACCCTGATGAAACCTCTTTTATGACACGTTCATGTCACTTATCTCCAATGAACAAAGTTGAAAATAGATCAGTCTTTCTGCAAGTTTTAGCAAAAATAAGCTGCCGAGTTGGTACTCACTGCTAGCGAAAGAAGACCAGATATGGCCGGCCTGTCAACTCGAGTGTTTTTGCTGTTTGCAACAGAAGAGCAATTCATAGTTCTCCAAGCAAAGCACTTTCATTTGCATACAGTGGTCAAGAATAAGGGTCAGGCTGTCTTATAGGCCGTGGACAGCTCAACACAGTTAAACTGTTTTTGAACTGTTTCATTTTAAAATGTAAGGAAAAGAACTTGCTGCTCTGACCTTTTTGTATAGCAATTAGACACAATCTCTGTTATTGTAGAGGGACGTGTTCGAGCGCATGTTTATTTTCTGCACAACAGACTGTACATAAGACTTTTTCGTAAGCAGTCTAAGCAGATATCTCTATGGGGGAAATGATTGGCGTTTCCAAAAATAGTCGCTGTGGTAAACAAAACCAAAACAGATGTGTTTCATCCAACATACATTTTTCCCCCTGAGAATCGGTTTGGAACCATTTTGTTTACCCCAGGGTACAATAGCAGCAGTTTTGATAAACGCCATTCATTTTTCACATAGAGAAATCGGCTTAGACCTGGAGTGCTTAATGTGGACATGATGGCGAATACAGAAAGACAACACAATCGTTTATACAGACTGTATTCCAAGTTACAAATCATTACAACAAAATTGTCTTATTCATTTCTCCAGGCACAACCAAGAACAGAAAGCAAAGGAGAAGGCTGCAGAGGCTTGATACCATTAACACATCACTACCATCCACTGGACTGAGAGGGAGTCCCCAACAAGCTTAATGCCCAGAAAAATACCCCTCCTTACTATTTTAGAATTCAGTCCACTCCACTGTTTCATTTTATGCTCTCATCAAGATAATTGTCATCTACGCACAACATTTTACATACACTGTTAATATGATTGTGTAATTTTCTGTAACATATTCTGTAAAGAGCTTTTCCTGGTGCTGATTTACCAACAGACTACTCACTATAGACTCCTCAGCTGATGTAATATTGTTCAAGGAATCTTTCCAAATAAATGTATTTCTTAGGAAATATTTTTGAGCAGTTGTAGACTTTTTTGGTTTGTTAACTTGTTTTTATAAAATGATCCTCTTAGTAATAATACTGGCCATCCATGTCCTAATGTAATTTGTCCACACCCATCCTTTTTGATATCCATTTGATATTTTTGAATCATTCAACTTTGAAAATAAAACTAATGGACTAAACTTGGTCAGAAGCATTTTGCTTCAAAACTACAATGTATTCATTCTGTTTCATGGGGAAATCTAAGGACATTTTAAAACATAACTTAAGACAGTTTTAGTCTGTGTGTAAGCACGTGCGTGAAGGAGAGAAAGATCTGGACTGAAGATTTGCCACAAGGATACGCTATTGGCATTCATATAGCTTTTTGTGCTTCATAAGAGATGTGCTTTGCAACAGTGAGTGTGTTTACATGCACTGAATAATCCGATAACTGCAGAAAATCAGGTTTTGTCAGTAATCCGATCAACATGTTTATATGCACTTGGATAATCAGATAATGGGGAAACTCTGGGTCTACATGAGTCAGACAATAATCAGATTTCTGCTATGCAACCAGCCAATAAACTCACAGGAGAAGACGTGATGTAAACGTAATGTAAAACTCATGCCGTGGCTTGTTTTTAAACATCAAGCCACTTTACCTGAAAATATGAACATACATCATCTAGAAGATGAGGAATATTTAAATCCTTCATTTTACTGAGTATGTAGTTGGTTTCAGTGTCGCTCCAAAAGTGTTTTCACACAAGCACAGACTGAGAAATCCAAAAGAAATCAGTAAGAGCACTGAGAAATCTGATTACTGAGCTAAAATCCAGCTCTCTTTATCGCATTTCTAGACCTTACTCCGATCTAGGAAATCGGAGTATGCTGTTTACACAACCATTTGAATAATTTGATAACTGAAGAAATTATGATTGGATTATTGAGTGCAGGTAAACGCTCAAGTCTATAAAAAAAAAAGAATACGACACGATACGTCACTAACATGTTTTAATTATGCAGAGCCAGGCCAGGGAATATTATTCTTTTTTTATAATTAAGAACAGTGAATAGTCATTTGAACTTTTTTGCATTTCACAATTCTATGACATTGAAATGCTTAGAAGCTCTACTCACTTTTCTTTTTCCATGAAAAATACAGAAGGCTGTAGTTTCCAGGAACATTAGGAGCTTCTCTCTGTGCTACATGTGCACATACCACCCATTCACATTAAAACAGTCAAATAGTTGTGCACCGTTTTGCTACGGTTTCCGCTTTGAACATGTTTTGTCAAAAGGGTGTGCAACGGGCTTTGAGGCATGTCTTCTCTCGTTTGATGTGTGTGAGAGGTGTTGCCCATTCAGCAGCGATGTGTATACAAACCCCTCCATATTAAAAAGGCAGCATAGACAATAGATTCTAAAGTCCTCTACAAATGCAGCTGCTGCAGCTTGGTGTGTGCAACAGTTGCAGACAGTAGGAGACATGTTTGTCATATTTTAACCCATTTCATCAGGCTCCAATAATTCTTTGAAAAGAATGACGGGAATGGCTTTCTCAGCTGCCATAGTTGCAACCCTTGCGTAACACAACAGAGTGTTCAATCAAAGTCCTTGTAGGAAAGTTTGTTCAGCGGCCATCTTTGCAACGCCGCCGGGCAGTTATTTCCAGCCATACAATACCAGACTCACGTGTCTCTGAATGGGGAGAGACCAAAATACTTGAAATAGAAGGTCAAATTACTGCTTAAAAAAACATATTTGAAATCACCGGTAAAATTTGTCAAAAAACCTAAAAAATAACATAAATAGTTTCTAGCATTTGGCTTAGTAATGCACAAAAAACATGATTTTTTTTAGGTTGTTTTAGCTACTGAGCTTGCACAGAATTCCACAACGAGGGGGGGGCTTTCCCCTCTCCTGCCACAATATCGTCAACCTTTTCGTGCTGGCAGCCTGACCAGCAAGCTGACTGGCTTTTTTACTGAAGGGAGGGACTTTCTCCACAAACAGATGCCATGTTGAGTGTTATGAGCTTTCTCTTTCATACTCTAACCAGAGACCGGTCTCCTCATTTATAACGTCTCTGGTTCAATACACCACCAGGTCTGTTTAAATCAATGTTTTGCCACGTTTTGTCGGGGGTGAATGCAGCCCTGGTGTCTCTCTGACGGATGACTCTGCTGAATCTGCGTTATGATCTGCATCATTCTACCGTTACAATTTCAAAGTCACAAAAAACAAATATTGTATTTATGTTGTTTTATGTAATAATTTGTATAATTTGTATAATTTTAAAAATCAATTAATGTTTTATTGGTAATAAAATGGCACAATCTTATTGTGACACATGCAGCAGTCAGTGTTTTAACCACATTTATCAGAAATATAAGAGATTTTACTAACTGTGGACTTGCCTGAGTTAATCTTTCTTCCTTTGAGATATCTATACAGGAAGTAATTCAAAAAAGACACTTTTTTGACAATTTACGCAACACCACTGATAAAAATTTTGGGACACATTTTATCATCAAAATTAAATTCTATTTATGTATTTAAAATCATTTTAACCTAGGACAGAGAATAGAGTGCATTTTCACAATTTCACAATTTCAACTGAACAAAACAAGCATGAAAATTGTTTCACATAAAGAATAATACTTAAGCATCTGTGAAGTCACAGCTGAAAAATGCAGTTTTTCATGCATTCTATGACTAAAAATCACGGATAAAAATTCTAAAAGTTATTCTAGCTTTTTTTGGTCAATTTAGGAACAGAACAAAGAATAAAGAACAAAGAATCCACTTTGAGGCCTTTCTTCAACGGTAGAATGACCCACTTGCTTTGTAACTGTAGCCTAATTTGTTTTATGCTCATTCTTAATAAAATTAGTTAGCTATTTTCACTTTAATTTATTTGGCCTAAACTTTTCATTTTTTTTATCTGCACACTGCATTGTTTTCCCAGCGCACAACATGCTTGATCTAGCTAATCAGCTCATTACCCATCCCTTACTTGTTGAAGTGGATGTGTCAGAGCAGGAGAATCGCTAAAATGTGAGGGAAATGGGCCTCCAATACCAACAAGGGTTGGGAAACAATAGGTTAAGCTCCCCAACACTGGACTGTAGAGCAGTGGAACAGTGTTCTCTGGAGTGACGGAGCACCATCCATTACCTTTCGGGTGAGCTTACATGGAGTTTGAGGACTGGGTTACCTAAGTTTGGACGTGAAGTCTTTACTAAGACCTTATTTAATAGTTAGTTTTAAACTATCCTTTCACTCATAGATATACATACCTAGATGCCGCTTTGCCTGTTGTTCTCTATCTGAGGAGATACGTCTGCGCATCCGCCATGTTGGAGCGGTCAAGATCCGCTTGTGAAGAAATTCACTTGTATTGAGAGATGATGAGTCTCAGGATTAAATCAGCCACAACTTCTTTATTATTTAACTGATTTTCACCAAATTTGTTTTGTTAAATTCTCAGACACAGATTAATCTAGGCTGCATGAACTGCTCTCGGTAGCTGTTATTTCTTTAATAATTGGTCGTGCTAATTAGCCGTCCGGACCAGTAAAAAAGTATTCAGTCTGCACAGTGTATGAATCACTTCTAATCTTAATCCACATAAAATAAAATAAACCCCCCAAAACACAGTAAGAAGGACGTTGAAGGTGGCTTCCTATTTGCCAGATTCTTTTTTGAGTTTTTCCGTTCCGCCTTAAATGATGCAGCAGTCACTTTCTTGTGCCTACCATTTAAGGTGGAACGGGAAAATTCGAACAAGATGCTGGCTGATGCATCATTTAAGGTGGAAATTCGAATAAGAAGCTAACTTCAGCTTTGTGTGCTAACGTTAATCTATAATGAATATCTACATGGATTAAGGAATGCTATGATTTATAGCTACAAAGCAATATCATCATTGTAAATAAATAACTACTACATCAAGTTAAGAGCCCCTGAATAGACCATTAAATGAAATAAGCTTAATAAAAAACAATCACTTCAACAGATTCTCTGTGCCTCACCAACCACACAGCCATAGGCTGCCTTTTTTAAAGTTCTTCATTTTGAATCAAAGTTATTTTTTATTTCAAAGTAAAGGTTAGGTTCAAAACCTGATAGCAACTTCTAATGTCAGTTTAGTTTCAAAATGAAGGTTTGGTTGCACGTTAAATTTAGTCGCCATTACGGAAGCAAAGAAAAGCTATTTTTAACAGAAAGCTACATAATATATTGCTTGTTCTCATAGATATACAAATGATACAAAGTAAAAAGAAAACAAGTTATACTTATGGGCATTGCCCACGTGGTGAAAAGAATGCCTTTAAAAGCAAACTGATTCTAACTGTGACTTGAACATGAGGCGAGAACAAGCGAACTACGACTCTCTTTTCCCCTATGAGAACCAGAAGAGACCGTGAATCCACATATTATAAAGTCAATAACCTGTAGCGGTCAGTGGGTGGCGATCTAAGACTGCAAACAACAAATGAAACCTTCTAATGCGTGAACACATTACATTCGTGGTCTACTAAGATGAGGACACAATTTTGAATCAAAGTTATTTTTATTTCAAATAAAGGTTAGGTTCGAAACCTGATCACAACTTCTGAGGTCAGTTAGTTTTCAATACAAGCCCTGACCAAGCCCCACACTGCTTAGTTTCTGACATGAGACCAGACCAACGGTTCTCATAGATTTGTATATACTGGCTGAAGCTGGAAGCCAATACAGGTCTTGTAAAGTAATTCAGTAGAATATATGACCGAGTACATGCAGACTTCCTATTTGCTGCCTTAGGCCTTCTGCTTATTCCCACAGTATGAACTTCTTTTCACTGTACCCATAGTTTAGTTTCAAAATGAAGGTTTGGTCACAAAGCTTTGAACTCCTGGCAAGGCAGCATGGACTCCCATCCAGTGACTGACCTGGACCAGCCTTGCTTAGCTTTATAGGTCAGTCAAGCCTAAGGGTTCCCAGACCCATAGGGTCACTGGTTGAGGCTGGCTTCCAG